TTTTTTTACCTAATAGATATTGAGAGCTGATTGGGAAGACAGTAGTACAAGAAGGAGGCATAGCTATGTATTTTGTTAACCACTTATTTATTTAAGGTAGTCCCAACCCTGACTTTGCATCAGAATCACTTAGGAATTTTCAGAAAAGATTAATGCTTGGACCTCACCCCGGAAGTTGTTTGAATTGTTCTGGGGAGGACCTTGAACACAACTGTGTGTTTTGGGGGTTGGGGGAAAGTAGAGGGGAAGGAACATGCAGACACCATTGCCCCAGAATTACTAACATCCCTCGTTCTTTCCCAGTCACATTCCGTTCTTTCCCCTCAAAGATATTACGCTGACTTTTAGAGTAACCACTTCCTGGCTTTTCTTTATAGTTTTACTACCTCTACATGCCTAAGTAATATGGTTTAGTTTTCACTATTTTAAACTTCATATTAATTGAAATGTATTCTGTGTATTTTCTTATGCCTTTTCCTCCTCAACATTATATTTCTTAGTTTCTTCTATGTAAGTCTAATTCATTTTATTGCTGTTAGCACACCAGTGTATAATTATACCAATTTATTCGGTTGCCAATGGACGTTAAGATCACTTCATTTTTTGACCATTTTACATTTTTGTGCTTGTTTTCTGGTACATAAAAATCATAGTCCTCATTAGGTGTTATATGTAGGAGTGGAATTGCTCAGTCGTTTCTTAAAATTTATTAAATTATGCCACTGTGTTTTTTTACATTTTCTCTAATAGTGCATGTGAGTTCCTGAGGGCTTGGCAATTTATTTTTCAGTCTCCTAACCTTAATTTATTGCTAATTGAAAGACATAGTCAGACCTTGTGTAGGTATGATAGTGACCCTAAATTTGGACTGAGCAGTAAATAAAATCACTTCCCGTTAGTAATAACCAAACTGTCTGGCCATCCCTGCTCTTGTGTCTCAGGTTCTCTGGAAGGTCTCTTGGTGTGTGCTGTACTTCATGTACTCTTGATTCTGAAAAATCCAGGGCAGGAATGAACACTCGTAGGACCTGGGGTCTTTGATGTGACAGCCTCATTTCCAGGCAGAGAAACTGAGGTGTGGCAGGAGAGGGGCGTGGTCTTTGAGCCTCCTTCTCTGTCTGGGCAGATGAACCTCTCTTTATGCTATCATGGGAATGTTGACTGAATGACCCAGCCTGCTCAGTACCTTTCTGTGTCTGGGTGATCACACTCCCAGGATGGTATAGGTCATACCTTTGAATGTTTGCCATTGGAGCGATTCTTAGTAATTCAGTTGTAGTTACATTGGTTCAAATAATTGCTGGCACCCACTAAACAGGAA